CAAAGCCGAAAAAAACCACGTCTCCCCCCCAGTTCTTCCTTTAATGTTTTAGAGTTGAACAAATAGCAGAGGAAAATGGAGTGAGGAGAGATTTCTGCTGATGATCTGAAGGCGCAGCTTTTTTCCTCCTGTTTACTGCCTGTCTTTGTAGACAACAAAATGCCAAATGAAAAAGAAAGAGAGAGAAAAAAGGGTGCCAAAATAAAAGGAGGAAGGAAAGAAAGACCCTCTTCAGGGTGTTTATCCAAGCAGCGTATTTGCTCATTTCCTATCCCAGCTCATGCATAACGCCAATGAGATGGAAAGAGCCTGTTTTGCTCGAGAGCTACCAACAAACTGGGAGACATGCCACACAATTGACTGTGGTGAAATAAATCGAGCAAAAGGTTCCCTTCCATCACCCTGGCTCTGCAGGGTTCACAGGAGGGGTGAGCACATCCATTGCGCATGGGGCTGGGGCTGTGCTGTGGGTACTGAGCCTCCTGCTCAGCAGCACTGAAAACAGGGCAGAGCAAGTGTGTGTCTATGGCCAGGGCTGCAAGGAAATCAGGGCTGTGAGCAGAGTTTAACAGCACCGTTGATTTATGGTTATAGATGCTGCATCTAATGTAGGGCAGAGAGTGTTTGAGGAATTTCTAGGAATTGAAGAGTTTCAGTGCTCTAAAGGCAAAACCAGGCTGGGGTACCATGGGCAGGGCTGGGTGTTCCTTGGGCAGGGCTATGGGTACCAGGGGCAGGACTGGGGGTTCTGCATGCTGGGCAGGGCTGTAATGCAGGGACTGTGCTGTGGAACAGAGGGCTCACTGCTGGCCTTCTCCTGGCTCCTCACCTCTACTGCCCAAGGCTTCTGGTCACTGTTGTATGATCTTAGGGGAGGAGTTTTGTGTTCTGTGTGGTTTTGTTTTTTTTTTTTTTTTTTTTTGGAGAGAGAGAATGACCTTTTTTTCCCCCCTCTCTGAATGGCTGAGGTGAGGTAATGCATCGGAGATGAGAATGTGAGCAGAGCGATGCCATAAAGCCAGCAATAGTGCTTATTCAGTAGTTCAGCTATATGAAGAACTCTGATAATGGCATCAGAAAACTCGTGGCCCTGCAGCACTCTGCATGCTGACCTGGCTGCCTGCCCTCTACCAACTCAGTTATTTGGGGAGAAGGCAGCCAGCTCTCCAGGTGGGCACCCTGCAGCTGGTGTTCCAAGAGCTGTCCTCGTTTGGGGAGGCCAAGGCCTACACAATGCATCTCATCATTAGGGGGACTCTGACCCTTCCAGCATCAAAAACTGAGAGGTTTATCTCCTTTTCCCCTCCTGCCTTCATTTAAGAAGCATCGTGCCTATCCATGCCCCCTATTTTGTTTGCTCTCTGGCTTGCTTTCCTTTTCATATAGTGGGAATAACTGCCAATTCACGAGGAGAAATGTCCCAGTGATGTGTTGCAGTGCTGGGGGTGAAGCAGCTCAGGACCCACCTCTGGCTGATACCCCATCCCATGCACTTCACGGGGACACTGCTGCATGCTGACATCCTTAATTTATACCTGTCCGTGTGATGCTTCATAAGAAGCATTTTCCAGCACGGTCTAATTACAAGGTAAATAAATGGTCCCTCCCTTATAGTTAATTCGTTAGGTGGCTTTATTGCCAACAGGAGAGAGATGACACAGAAGGGTATTACGTACAGTGTTGCTAGTAATTATTTTTATTACTTCACACTAGTTTTATTGTGGTAGTAGGGGGAGTTTCGAGTTGTCGCTTTCTGCTCGGTGTAGTTAATGTTCTCTGAGGCTTTCTGGCACGGCTGAGCAGGGTCAGGTCCACAGGCTGTGCTGAGCATCTCCAGGAGAACTCTGAAATGGGAGAGCACCTGCTGATTATTCCCCTGCTGCTGGACCAGGGCTTTTCCTTTTTCTGTAAAACCTTGGTGGAGAGGCTGGCATTTGCAGGATTTTGGAGGAAGTGGATGTTGCTGGAGTTGTGCATGTGAGTGCTGATGGATAACGGCCTCAGTCAGGCGGGGCAAGGATTCGCTCTTCCCTCAAGCATAAGATGGGCTTTTGCTTTTGGATTTATTTCACTTCTATTGGGTGAAAATAACTATTTTAACAGCAAGCTACTTGTGTAAGCAAAGAAATTCTTTGAGCTCCGAAGAATGTTAAGGTGTACAAATGTCTTTGTGAAAGATGATGAATTCCTGTAGTCTTCTCTAGTGAATTTTGCTTCTGTAAATCTCTTCTCTTTGCTTGTGCTAATTGGTCATAGCATTAATTAATCTGATTTCATTATATCTCTTTAATTTGTCAAGATACCATTTCTTTATTGGGCAAAGAAACACGTTAGAGGATTGTCACAATTGGAATAATCCCCCCCTTCTTTAAAGTTACCAAGAGAAGTCGTTATCAATTAAGCTAATTTGCATATGCATTAGTGTAATCATTTTAGTTTAGCCAAATTTGCGAAAATTTACATAGCAAATTGACCTTCCACATTTTCACTTAAACATATAAAGCGCAAAAGAGAATTGCGTTGGCATTGATAATGAAATGGAGATTATTTTGCATGGTTCTCTTACTAAAAGAGGCCTAATTAGACCAAGTAATTTTTTATTTCATCCCTAATTGCAAAACAAATAAGCTCTTTGGCAGTTTCTTCCCTTTCCCTTTGCCCATGTCACGTGGAGGGGGAGCGCTAATAGGGAAGTCGTGTTCTCATTAAGCCACAGTTGACGTCTGTGTGCTCCTCCATCAGAGGTCCCTCGGTTTCTTCCAGGTATTCCGCTTCAGCTGTTCGAGTTGCCTGGATCACCGATTAATAGACAGCTCCCTCAGTCTGGTCTGCTGAAGTAGCAGAGAAGAAAGGGAAAAAGAGAAATAGTGCTGCTTGTCTAAAGCAGCGCAGCCATGAGAACAGGCAGTGTCTCCCTTCCCACGTGGGAATTACAGCAGAAAGAATTCCAGGCTGTGAAACATAATGGTGGGGAGTGCTAGAAGTGCTTCCACTGGGGTACCTGGGCTGTCACCGAGTCCATTGCCATGTGCAGAGGGATTCTTGCTAGGTGTGGAGGCATACAGGGAGCACAGGTGTGGCTTGGGTGGGCATGTGGTGCTGACACCAGGATGGCTAAGCTGCTCCTCCAGGTATGGAAGCAATGCAGAAATGGCATTTCTGAACATGCCTGCTGCAAACCCACTGAGCTGTGACTCAGTGTGATGCAGGAGCACTGTTAGAATTAAGGAAATGTTAATGCATGCAGCCAGTGTGTGTAGCTGCAGTGGAGTGGGGGTGTGCAGGGGACCCTGCTGCTGGTGCCTGGCGGTCTGGGCAGTGCCTTGGCTTTCCATCCCATCTCACCTCCAGCAGCCTCTGCTGCAACCCAGCAAAGGTATTTGCATTTCCTGCCTGCCTGTCCCCACCTCGCCCGCATGCAGAGGGCAGCTCCAGGTGGAAAATCTTTCCTCTCGGGTTGTTAACTGAGCTGAGTGCTTCCCCCCACCACCCTATTTTTTTGGCCTTGAGTGTTTTTAACGGCAGCCTTCATGGTTTGATGGAGGATTTTACACTAATGCAAGGCATTACCTAGTTAATTTGGCCAGAATAGAGTGTAATTTTGCACGGTCAAAGTCATTGCTACTTGAGCTAAAAGTTCCATTACAGTGCACTGCCCACCTAGCTATTTCAGAGCACGCAGAGATAAGTAGCATTTTATTAATGGGTGTCCTCGGGAGCTTATTTAAAGGATGGCTCCTTGTCTGCATTGGAGATGAATATGGGAAGGAGCCAAGGCAGTGAGGGATGCTGGCAGCTGCCATGGATTTGCCACCCCTCTCAGTATGGTGATGCTCTGTCCGGCTCCTGGAGCATTGTGCCTGCAGGCTGCTCTGGATCCCTGGTCCCAGGCAGGGATCTGGTTGCATGAGGACATTATTATGCCAAGCACTGTGTAAACATAGAACAAAAATTTGGCTCCCTCACTTACAAATAATACATGATCCTCTTGATCGCTCTTGTTGGCTGAGGGCTCCCCAGCCTCTCCTGAAGTTGGGACTTGGAATGAGCAGTGCTATGGTGCTCATTGCCCTTTCCCTACAGGAGGCCTGAAGCAGTGAGATGAGCAGAGTGCATGGCTGGCAAAGCCACCTGCAACCCTGCTCTTGTCAGCATCCCCTTGGGATGCTTTGGAACCCCCTCTTGGCTTGGATGGGCTGTGGTAGGCGATGGAGCAGCTCAATGGCCATCACAGCCTCCAAATTGCTGCAAGGCTGTTGTTCTTCTGATTCTTGTGCCCTCGCTAAGCCCAGCGCCAAGTGGCTGCCTGCTCCCTCCTCGTGCCCCTCTGCACCTCCTTGTGGCTACTGCTCATGAGCTAAATCCCTTCAATGTGGTGGTTGTTTGTTTTTGGAATTCTTCTCTATTCTCTCCTACCATCCAGCTGCAAAGCAACGTACACACCAGAAGCAAACCAACCTCTCACAAATTATTCCCCAGCTGTGACTGATTCCAGCAAAACACCTCGTGTCTGATCTACAAAGCCCGAGCTGATCCGCAAGCCCAACCAAAGCGGGTCCTTCCTCATCACATGCTTGTGCTGCCAGAGCAGGAGACGTGGATAATACTTTGGAGCTGCTACAAAAGCTTCGGAAAAGACTCTGCCATGGTAGCAAACAGCTGGTGTAGCTAATCCATTTTCCAAGCACATTTGCAAGATACATAATTAAGAGTTCTGTTGAGGGGCGAAGCGAAGCAAACCATTAGATTTGTTTATAATATTCTGGGTAGTGTAATGCTCACACAGGATATCCCTTTCCTGCAAAAGACATTAAGATGATCCTTAGGAAATGTCCCTGGGATTTCCTGATGATGCCTACATGACATTAAATTTGTGTAAGTATTTCCAATTCCATTTGCCATGGAATTAAGCACCATGAAGGATCCCATAAATTTAACTTGTTAATTGCTGGATCAATCCAGGTGATATTCCTTTAGGTTCTCTCTTCTGATTTCTGTTGTTTTGCAGGCACAAACTGGGATGGTTTGAGGAAGAGGATGAGCAAGTTCCTTCAGCCTCATCATGGCAGCACAAGCATGTTGACAAGCTATGTGTGTTTCACCTGCTATTAACTTGCTGCTTGATGACAAGCAACTGTTTCTTCCAGAGCAAACTAACACTGTCCAGGTTGAAATTAGCCTGGTTGTGGCCCATGTCCAAAGCAATGTTTGTGTTTGTATGTCTCCGAGTTTGGGGCAGCTGTTGCAATGTGGCACTGTGGATTGGGTCTGCAAAGGGAGGCTGCATGAGGGAAGAGCAGGCACGAAATACCTGTTTTTGCTTTATAAAAACTTCCCTGTGGTCTCTACTTTGTCTGCAAGACCCACCTAGCACCTCCCAGTGAGGTCTACTGGGAATCCCCTCATGGCAGGGGGGGAGAGTTGGTTTGAGTGGGGGGGGAAAAGTCCCTGATCATCACAGGGGAGTTGGACTAAATGACCCTTAAGGGCTCCTTCCAGCTCAAATGGTTCTATGGCTCTTTGAAATGAGAGGTGCCCATGGCTCTGTGCCCTTAGGGTGCAGCAGAAAAGAGAAGTGAAGCCGCGTGATGCATCCCAGCACTTTTGCTACTGGAGGAGGATATGCAGACGTTGCTGCTGTGCAGAGTGGTCTGGAGGTGTGCTCAAGCTCCCAAACACCCTGAGCCTTGCTCTACACTTATTCTGACTCTGTGTGCTTTCATGCAGGTTCCACAGCTCCGTGTGTTTCTCGCCGTGTTTCCATCCTGTCGAACACTCAGAGCCTGCCCTGCGCGCATTTCGGAAGCGAAGGACTTTCCTAATTACAGTGCGAACAATCCGAGGTGGGCTCCTGTCTGTCTAACTGTCAGGGAGAATAAGTCAGCAGTGAGTCAGAAGCAGAGATGTGGAAATGATGCGGGAGAAAGGGAATAGTCTGTGCTGGGCTTAATCACAGGGGCCAGGTGCTTTACATTTCTTCCAACAAAACTCTGTTTGCTGCGGGCGCCTGAGGCTAGCTGAGGCGGGCAGCATAGCCGAGGCTCATCAGGCTCACTTGCCTCCTGGGCACTGTCTTTCACTTGGTTGGGCATTGGCATCTCTGCACCCATTGCATCACACCCGCTCCTTGTTCTGTGTGTGCTCCCGGAGCGGCCGAGGTGCACCATGCAGCCTTCCCTTGGAAGCTATTTGCTTTGTCATCATTATTATTATTTTACTATTCTTTATTGCTATCAGCAGTAATGCAAGCCCTTTTGCCTATGGAAAGGATTTTTTTTCCTGTTGTTTCTTCTGGAGGGATCCAGGAATTCTCCACTTACCTATGTCGTATTTATTACGCTTGGTTAAAGATCATTAAAGCCTTTGTTAGCAGAGCTGACTGACAAGAAGAGTGGATTAATATTAGAACACCCTGTCAAAAGTGGTGAAAAGGCTGGATTGATTTTATGGGAAGTTTAGTCAGAGTTGTGTGTAAAGCCCTTGGGGGGTTACACTGCAGTGAATCAATCTCCTATATTAGCAACTCCCTCTGGGAATAGTCGACTTCAGTGTTTATTACAGCCGAGGCTGCATATAATAGGGATGGCAGCCACTCGCCTCCCTCTCTTCTTTCTCATAATTTGCTGCTTGCAATTGCAGCCACACAGAGGAGCACCTGAGATAAACAAAGGTGCTGGGCTCTGTGTAGCAGCAGAGCAGTGGGGGGGATGAGATGAGTGTCTGCCACCAGCCCTGTCCTGCTGCACCCACCCTGAGCTCTGCCTGAGGACCTGCTGAGAGCTCCTTTGTGGCGGCAGTTTTCATCCCAGTGCCTGGGTCGCAAGAAGAATGCACACAGGACAATACCAGCGAGAGCTCCTGCAAACATCAATTAACAGAATCCCACGCCGTGTGGGTAAGGAGGGTTTTGGCAACCCTGGAACAGAGACACGTGGTTGAAAGAGATGTGACAAGGTATCTGTGCACTTTGGATCTAATTGCATTCAATCACCTCTGGATCTAAAGCATCACTGGTGCAGCAGGGATGCTGTGGGCCAGGAGGGACTGTGCACCCCAGTGCACGGCTCATAGCACTGCAGTGATGGCATTCCCACAGCTGATGGCTCCCGACCTTTGCCACAGCAGCTGCTTGATGGAAACCATCAGCACTTTTTGGAAAGACAGTAGAGCAGTAGAGGCAGGTCCTGCAGTCTGCTGGTGGTTCCTCCAGCTGTGCCTGCATCCTTTTGTGCCGTACGCAACAAGCCAGATAACTTTCATTCCTCCTCTTCCACTGTCACTTCACTTTTTATCTGCTCAACAGCAATTCCTTTCTGCTCCCCCCCATCCTCTTCTCTCACTAATGCTCTTCACTTTCAAATGCTAATAATCTGCAGCACTAAAAGGCTTAGAAGTGGTTCTAGATTGTTTGATCTTTGGCCTGTGATCTACTTTCATCTTCCAGCTTTCAAATGTTACTTTGGATTTACTTTAACCTATTAACACGCTTGGTATTCACAGGCATGCACTTTTGGTGTGTTTTGCATCAGATCCACCCAAATTCAAACGAGCAGGGGAAGTTACTCTTCTGGACACCAACTTTTCACAATCTCTATTTGCTCACAGGCACAGCGGGGGTTTTCCTCTCCTGTTTCCATGTTCCCTGGGGATGCTGAGGATGAGGATGCGATGTTCCCCATTGTGAGGGGACAGCAGTGGCCTTGGACCTGCAGCCACCAGCCCAGCACCCAGCAGGGGATGTGGTGTAGGGGATCGCCCTCCTCCTCTTCTTCCTTTACAGTGGCACCTCTGGAGAGAACGGCTTTGAAAGCGCTGCTTATTTTCAGCAGCTCCTCTGGACTGTCTGGTCCTCAGTCAGTGTTGGATGTCTGAACAGAGACATCAGAGCCTTCCTGAAGCTGTTATAACTTAATCTGGCAGGCCAGCCTGCTCTGGCACCTCTTGCCAAGAGAGGAAGCCAGAGCACTAGATGATTTTCAGACATTAGTGACTGCCATAAATCAGAAAGCAGAAGTTATCGAGTGCTCTGCTAATGGACATTTCCTTCCAGAGTATCCCCTCTCGGGCTTTGCAGGGGCACAGAGGCTGCTCCCAGTGGGGGAAGCCAAGGGAGCTGTGCCAAGGCTGGGAAATGTGCTGAGGAAAGAGGCTGCAAGGTGAGAACCAGGCTCCAGCTCCAGCCTGACTGCTGCACTGCTGTGGCTGCTGGTGCTGCTGCTCTCTGTGGGGGCCCCCAGCCCCATAAGCACCAGCCGTGCTTTGAGAGCTGTGCAAATCCCAAGCCATCAAAGGGACGGCATCATTGGAGGCCAACTTGCCTCAAATGACTTAAAGTGCAGAAGGGAGATTTCAGCCAAGCTGAGCGCTGGGCAGGTTTAAACTGTGTAGAAGTAGTCGATGTGAGATGGCAGTGCTCTGTGCTGTGCTTCCTGTCTCCTTAGGGCTGACAGGGGAAGGGGCAGAGCCTTGAGCCCTTTGCCTTCAATGCTGATTCCCAATCAAAGCGATGCAGTCCTCAAGGAGCAGCGAACTGTTTAATATTTAAACCCAAACAGCCCAGGCAAAGCTGCTTTTCTTTTTTATTTATTCTTTTAATTAAATGCCAATTAGAGAGGGGGGGAAAAGGCATTAAACACTTAAATACACACTACACCCAGGTTGCTCAAAATTGTTACGACCTAATTATCTACTTAAGTGATCATTTGAAATTCCATATCAAGCAATTCATAATCTGCCCCAAAACTGAAGGCTCAGTGAGCATCAATGGGCAGTGCCTACCCTGTGGTTGCTACCTGTGGGATTGAAGTTTCCCCCTGCACATCCATGGGGACTTTGTGCAGATGGGGCTGGGAAAGAAGTGGTGTTTTCTGCCCGGAGCTGCAACTCAAAGCAAGGTCACTGTCAGGAGTTCTGTGGGTGCTTTTTCCCATGTTGGAGGTTGCAGTTTCCTTGCTGCATGGCTCTTCTGGTTCTCCTGGCTTCGAGGTGCTATTATCTGCTCTCCACCCTGCTGCTCTATGAACGCTGAGGGACGTGGGATGGTGGGGATGGGTGGATGACTTGGTGATCTTAGAGGTCTTTTCCAGCCTTAATGATTCTATGACAAGCTGGTGCCACCCATCTCATGTCGCTTCAGCCTGAAATGAGTTCTGGAGGAGGCATGATGGTGAGATTCCCCACTCACCAAGAAAGAGTTCAGCCCTTCTGTGCACCTTATCAGGGCTGGAAAATCTTCCACTGCATTTCCTTCTGTGGAAAGTGCTGCCCCCGCAATTAAACCCTGTGCACGTGTCTAAATGCATCCAACTGAACCCTGCTCATCTGCCCCCAGCACCACTCTGTGAGCTCAGGGTTATGAGGGCAGATTGGGGAGGCCCATCCATAACCCACAACGCCGCCGTGCCTAACGAACAATGCATTAATTAGAGGCAGCAATTCAACCTCCACCGTAATCAATTCCAGCAGCGCCCGCTCTGCCTGCACATCCGACAGCCTCTTCCACTCCCCTCTGCAAGATTTATTAATTATCAATGCTGGCTCCGGCGTGGCATGCAGAGGAGAGCAGGAGCGAGGAGGTGGTATCGGCGGCGGAGATCTGAGAGACGTCTGAAGGGGATTGGCATGTGCAGGAGACAGCCTGCCTCCTGGGGACTCGCCCGGTGATCTTTTTTTCCTCCCTTCCTCCTGCTTTTCTTTTAATTAGTGGAGTTGGTGCGATGCTCTGCTTGGACAGCAGGGAGGAGGGTGCGCGGCAGCAGGCAGGGGCTGGTGGGTGCGTGCAGCATCCCCTGCTCCCTGTATCCCATCCCCTCACCCAGGGCGATGCTTCGTGCCTGGGTCAGGCCCAAACAAACAGCCCCAGAAGTTGGCTCTGTGCTGACCCTCTCCACCCACCTGTAAACTGCAGCCCTGCCAAGTAGTAAGCTCTGGTCTTTCCACCTATGGATGAAGCGTGGCGATTTCCAAGCCTGCCAGCTGATGCCAGCGGATGACATTGTGATTTTATTGATCTCTTCTTTCCCACTGGTGCTGGGGGAGCCGTGTTTCCAAGCCTGCTGGGGGCAGCAGGAGGAGGCGGGTTGGTGTGGGATGGGAGGGCTGGGGGCAGCTCTGCTGCTCAGGCTCGCAGCCCATACTGTACCCCAAGCATTTTTTTTTTTAATACTATTAGAAAAAAATACAAAACCAGTTATTTTTATGCCCCTTTGCCCCCCTGTGCTCTCCTGCCTGCTGTGTGCAGGAGGCACTGGGGGTTGCCCCCATTGTGCTCCCCTGGGCTGGCTCAGCACAGCACACAGTGCCAGCACCAGCAGCTTTGGGCACAGCGTTGCATTGGCATCTGCATGAGAGCTAATAAGGAAACATCATTTCAAACTTCAGCCCTCATTTGCCGGCTACGAAACAGCAAAACAAAGCGAGTGAGAAAGCGTGAAGGGGGAGTATGTTCTAAATATGCCTGGGAGGATTCAAAGACACTTTAAAGTGGGGATGTGGTCTGGGGAAGAGTCTATTTTCAATGCAGATTTGTTTTTGTTTGAATTAGTTGATGCTTATTTTAAGCTCCTGTGGCACGTTGTCATCTCCGGATTGCTTGTTTTCCTGTGCCAAAGTCAACCTTAATTTTTTTTTCCTCCTTTCAAGAGGAACCCACGATTTTCCCTCTGTTGCACAGTGCATCAGATGGGCAGGACAGACCCAGCTTCTCTAAGCAATGCTGACAAGATTACCTACTGATTGCTGGAGTAAAATGTTGCATTTCAACTAAAGCTGGGGCAGATGGCAGAGGAAAGCGCTGGAAACTTGTCACTAATTTCTAGTGAAGGACAAACCTCCTGGGGATTGTGGGTTCACTCTGGGTAAGCTGGAGAAGTCTGGCTGTGTTGCTAGTGCTCATCCCATGCATCTGCATTGGGGAACATCCCTACTCCCTGCACCCCAAATTGTGCCTTGAAATGATGGGATGGAGATGCCTGGGCCCGCTGCAGCCCACCTTGGCAACCCACCTCCAGCAGGTTTGCCTTCAGCAAGGGGTAAATGCTGCCTTCACATCTGCACAAAAGCGGCCAGAGGATTTAAGTGAAGCATGGACAACCCTCAGGAATATCCTGTGTAACTTCTCTTTCATTTTGTATCAGCAGACTTGGAATGGGAACACTTGTGAAAGAGCAGCAACAGGTACTGCTTATCCTTGGGGGGCTCAGTGCCTTCCCAGAGAAGAACAAACATAATGGAAGGAGGGCTGCAAGCACAGGTCTGGCTGTGATGCTGCAAGGAGAACACAAGCAAAGCATGAAGTTCCTAAATGCATGGGTGTAAGGTATGGGCCACAAGCCCCACTCAGCAGAGGTAGACCTGGGAGAACCATCAGCCTCTGTGGGGAGCAGCAACAGGGCTCACACCACTCATACTGCTGGGAATTTGGGAATTGCACCTCATCCCCTCCCCAGGAGCTGGTGGCAGTGTGGCACTGCCTTGGGCTGCGCACATGTGGGCTGAAATCAGACAGCCGACAGAACCCAGTCCGAAAGATCAGATATTAGCTAATGAGCTAATTAGTTTCTTATCAGCAGCTAATGGCCAGGAACTTCGTCGGCATCTGTCGCCATCGCTGGCGGATGGGGCAGATGCTGAGGATGTGGGACCAAAGCAGAGCTACCAACACATCCTGTTCCACGCTGTGGGTCCCTCTGCTTCTGTTTTTGTGCTCTGTGCCGGTGCCTTTGAAGATGGGCACACCATCAATTATGTAGCGCAATAAATAAAGCTCTTGACCTTTCCTTGAGCTTGCCCCGAGACACTCCTGCTCCTACACTGGGGCTGCTCGCTGGTGTCATTACTTAGGCTGTGCCGTTTCTCATCGTGCTTTCGTCCTGCCCTGTTTTCTCTACATCAATCACCACAGAAAAGGTCCAGGGTGCACGAGAAGCCCCCGCAGCGCCAAACCCATGCATCCCTGGCTCTGCTCAGCCCCCGGGACCCTCCCGGCCACCAGCGAGATGCCTGTTGGTCTCTGTCTTCTGTCACTCCCTTAGATTTCAGCTCAATCATTTCTGAAATGTGGAGCTGTAGCTAAAACGCCTTTGCAGTTTAACAGGATTTTTCACAGCCTACACAGCAGAGGCTAGAGTTGCTCATCACCTGCTGTTGTAATCTGCACCGTTAAGCCTCCAGCTCTATACAGAAAGCTTAACTTTGCTTTGCTTATTTGCCTTCTCTATTCCCTCGCATCCGGCAGCCATATTTCAGGCAGGAAAAGTTAATCTTTTTTTCCCCTGACTCCAGACAAAGGCATTTCAAATGAGATACAAATTGCTGATGAAATTATTGGCTTTGAGCCCCGTCTGGGAAAGGCCCACTTAAAAGAGCCCCTGCTAAAGGGAAGAAAGCCATTTTCTGCAACTCTGACAGCACTGCCAGGAATCACAGAATCGTGGAGTGGTTTGGGTGGAAGGGAGCTGAAGGCCACCTGGTGCCGCTCCCTGCAGCGCACAGGGACACCCACAGCTCAGCAGTGCTCACAGCCCCGTCCAGCCTGACCTTGGCTGTCTGCAGGGATGGGGCACCACCGCCTCTCTGGGCAACCTGTGCCGGTGCCCTACCAGTGGCTGAGATGCTCTCCCTGCAGGCAATGGGATCCTGATCTGTCCCTGCAAATGCACAGAGCATAGAATCATAGAATCATAGAATCACCAAGGTTGGAGAAGACCTAAAAGATCACCCAGTCCAACCGTTCACCCATTCCCAACAGCTCCCACTAAACCATGTCCCTCAGCACAGCATCCAGCCTTTCCTTGAACACCCCCAGGGTCGGTGACTCCACCACCTCCCTGGGCATCCATTCCAGTGCCTGACCACCCTTTCTGAAAAGTAATACTTCCTCATGTCCAGCCTGAATCTCCCCTGCCATAGCTTGAAACCATTCCCTCTGGTCCATCTCCACAGCTGTGTTCAGGATGGGCTGTGCAGGATGCTCCCTTCCTTAGGGCTCATTATGAATGCCGTCTTCAAAGATAAATGTACAACTTGATGCAGAGGTATGCTCTCTGGCAAAACTGAAAAGTTATAGATGTTAGCTTTGTGGCTTTATGAAAGCGCTTTCTTATGGAACCTGAAATGACCAAGATTAGATTGAATTAATATGTACAGTTTTTTTTTTTTTACAAAGATTTCTAGCAGAAGCATTTCATAAAAATGCAAATCTCAGCTGAGATTTATAATTAGTAGAGATATGTGTGGAGCTCACAAATTATCAGCAAAGCCAAACTCTCCACGGATAATTACATGGGGCTGTGCTCAGCATCTGATGGCATCCTCTCAACCCTGCTGCCATCTCAGGGGCAGCGCAGGATGCCCTGGGCACAGGCATGGCATGTGGGAGCTCTGCAAAAGCAGGATGCAAGGGGATATCATGGAGCATCTTCTGGGAGCAGGAAGAGGACGAGGCAGATTGTGATGCAGTTGTCCTGATGCTTCCACATGCTCCTCCTCCTTTTGTGGTGTGGAAGTAAGTCTGCTGTGCTGGGAGCTGCTGGGTGAGCTGAGAGGAGCAGAGATGCAATGCTCTGGGACAATCCATCCTGCTGAGGTGAATCTGTACGTATCGGTTTTTCCAACTTCTTGTGATTTCCTGACACCGTGTGAAAAACTGCAAAAGAAAAGTTATTACAACTGCTGTGAAGTTTTTGGGGA